CCGCTTTCCTGGTGCCTCCATCCTCTAGGCCAGAGGTCGGCAAACTGCGGCTGGCGAGCCACATGCGGCTCTTTGGCACATCGAGTGTGGCTCTTCCACAAAACACCACAGCCTAGGCGAGTCTATTTTGAAGAAGTGGCATTAGAAGAAGTTTAAGCTTAAAAAATTTGGTTCTCAGCCAAAACTGGTTTGGCTCAGTGGATAGAGCGTCGGCCTGCGGACTCAAGGGTCCCAGGTTCGATTCCAGTCAGAGGCATGTACCTTGGTTGCGGGAACATCCGCAGTAGGGGGTGTGCAAGAGGCAGCTGATGGATGATTCTCTCTCATCGATGTTTCTAACTCTCTATCCCTCTTTCTTCCTCTCTGTAAAAAAACAAATATATATATATATATATATATATATATTTTTTTTTTTTTAATGTGGCTCTCAGAAGAAATTTCAAACATTGTGCTGTTGATATTTGTCTGTTGACTAATGAGTTTGCCAACCACTGTCCTACGCTAACAAGACAGACTGCTCGCCAGACCTGGGGACGATTTTACCCTGAGGTTGCCTTTCATGGCTGCCATGGATGGGGTACATGATTCCCTGGATCTCTTATCCTCTTTCTTGGTTTACACTGTTGTTTTCTAAAATACATCCTCAAGTAACTTCCTTTGAAAGGTTGAGCCCTGGCTGGTGTGCCTGAGTGGTTAGGGCGTCTGTCTACACACGGAAGGGTCTCTGTGTGGATTCCCCATCAAGGGCAGGCACTCCCCGGCCCCGGCCAAGGCCCATGTGAGAGGAAACCAGTGGATGTGTCTCTCACACACTGATGTTTCTCTCTCTCTCCACCCCCTCCCTCCCTTTCACTCTCTCTAAAAAAACAAAGGAAGAATATCCTCATGAGGATTGACAAAACAAACAAAAAAAGGTCGAGTAGGATATAAACTTCCAGGTCCTGGCTTGCCTCACTTCTATAAAATTAAGCAATGCCTATTCCTGGAGTATAATTCTAGTTAATAAATAGTCACACAAAAAAACATGCTACATTAAGAAATTTAAAATGGTTGCTTACATATGGGCACAAGGAACGTACATATGGACAAAGAATAAACTCCTGAAAGAGTAATAAAAAGTCAACAATACAAAAAATGCCTCTGGGAGAACCTAATAACCATCCATCAGAGCCGTAGGCCCAGAGAAGCGAGAGAAGCTGGACCAGCCAGGGATGTCTGGCAGGGAAGCAAGGCTTCGGGTGGGTTCAGAGAGCAGGCGATGTTAGGGGTAGACGAGGCACTTATGAATATTCAACTGTGGCCAGCATCAGTCTGACAGAATGGCTGACAGTCCAGGGACAGTCCCACTCTCGGGGTTACCAACATTTTCATTTCACCAAGTCAGCCCAAATATAATTTTAAAATAGGAAAGTAGCCGAAACCGGTTTGGCTCAGTGGTAGAGCGTTGGTCTGCGGACTGAAAGGTCCCAGGTTCGATTCCGATCAGGGGCATGTACGTTGCTTGTGGGCACATCCCCAGTAGGGGGTGTGCAAGAGGCTGGTCGATGTTTCTCTGTCATCGATGTTTCTAGCTCTCTATCTCTCTCCCTTCCTCTCTGTAACAAATCAATAAAATATATTAAAAATAAATAAATAAATAAAATAAAATAAAATAGGAAAGTAATTTACCCCGATCAACAGACAAACTCCCTGGCTACTCAGGGCCGTAACAGGGAATGCTCCTCACGTGTCTGAGGAACTGGGCGCATCCTCAGACCTGCCCTGCTTGCTGGGCTGTGAAGGGGCAGGCACTGAGCTTTGTTAGTGGAGTGTCACTGAATAGGGCTGGTCAATGATTCTCTCACATCATTGATGTTTCCATCTCTCTCTCCCTCTCCCTTCCTCTCTGAAATCAATAAAAATATATTTTTAAAAAAATAAAAAATAGCTGAGACTGGTTTGGTTCAGTGGATAGAGCGCCAGCCTGCAGACTCAAAGGTCCGATTCCGGTCAAGGGCATGTACCTTAGTTGCAGGCACATCCCCAGTAGGGGGTGTGCAAGAGGCAGCTGATCGATGATTCTCTCTCATCGATGTTTCTAACTCTCTATCCCTCTCTATTCCACTCTGTAAAAAAATCAATAAAATATATTTTTAAAAATAATAAATAAATAAAAATAAAAAATAAAAAATAATACTAAAGCAGCAGCAGGGAACTGTGAGGTCTGCCTCTCCATGGCAGGTCCTCCACGGACCCACAACACCCACGTCAGCGAGGACACGTGCCTTCCTTCCTCCTACATGCACACTCTTGTCCCACATGCACACGAGGGGAGGAGACTTCCAGGAGGAAAAAGACCTTTGGGCCCAGGGTCTGCCCAGTGGTCAGAGTGCCTGCAGTGAGGACGGAGGGGTCTCCCAGGCAGAGTCTTACCTGGTGCAGCTCCCACTGGGCGCTAAGACCCTGCTCTCTGCCCTCGGGAAACTTAGCCAATTTAACCGGGGTTCGGGGTTCGCACCCACTGCTCCGATGGCCTGATAACTGGCTGGTTTGTTCACTATCACATCCCAGAGCCTCAGTGCCTGGCATGTGGCGGGCGCTCTGTGCTCGGGAATGGAGGAGTGGATGGATTGAAATTAGCTGCATTTCCTCAAAGGCCAGAGCCAGACATGAGCATTCTGTTTCTACCAGAGCTCAGATAAGCCCGGAGGACCTGGGGCCGCGGGCAGGAGGCGCCTGCAGGCTGCCCGGGCTGGTCCGTCACGCAGGTGCAGGTCGAGGGGAGCAGAGAGCTCAAATGCTCAGAAGAAAGGTCCAGAAAGCACGCCCCCCCCCCCCCCCCCCCCCCCCCCCCCCGAGATGGAATCAGAAGGCACAGAGCATGAGGGCCCATCTCCCGAAGAGCACCCCCATCGCCAGACCCTGAGCCTAGGTAATGCCTGGATGCACCTCTGACTCAGAGGAAAACCCGCCAGGATCAGAGCCCTCCGGTGGGGTCGGGGGTCAGGGCTGTGCACCAGGCAGCTCCACGGGAGGAGATGGAACACGCAGGGTTCGCTCCGGGAAATCAGAAATCTGGCCCAGGACGCGCCTGTGTGCTGCTCTGTGGCCCCTCAGGGAGGTTCTCACAGACTCCGGACTCTGCCTGACAAAGGGGGGTGTAGGGGGGACACCGTCCCCGAAGCGGGGAGCGGCCGCAGAGGGGCCGGGAGGCGAGGCCCGGGGCTGCGCAGGTGGCAGCGCTGCCCGTGGCTCCCGCCCAGCAGGCCTGGCACCGCCGCCTGGCACCGCGCCCTGTTCCTCAAAAGCCCGCGGGTGCACTTACTGAACCCCCACTTCTAACAAACCATGGCATCGGGAGCCCTGCCTGACCGCCACACTCCAGCAGGTGGTTCCCGCCGCGCCCCCGGCCGTACCAGCACCCCAAATGGCACCCCCAATGGCAAATGCGCGCCGGGCGGGGAGTCCCGCGGAGGGGGCACCGCTGCCGCCCACCCCGTCTCCTGCTCGGGCCCCGGGCGGGGAGCCCCGCGGAGGGACAGCGGCCTCCTGGGGGGCCCTCCCGGCGCCGCAGGGCCCCCCAAGCCGCCCAGCGCGAGCCGGGGACAGGCCGAGCGGACAGAGGACACTTGGGGAACCACCTCGCTTCCGGGGAACCAGGGGCGGATGGCCGGGGAGGGGGAGGGGGAGGGGGAGGGGACCCCCGGTAGACAGCTGGGGGGGTGCGTGCAGACGGAGGGGGTGGGGGTGGGGGAGGGAAAACTCACCCCCCCTGCCGCCCCGCTCGCACCCAGTCTGTCTGTCTGCGGAGGGCTCGGGTTCTAACACGTGGAACCCGGGGGGTGGGGGGGCGGCCTAGGGGGCATGCAGGAAGCAGCCCACAGACGTCTCCCCTCTCCTCTCCCCCCCCCCCCCCCCCCCGGCTTTCTGTCTCTAAAAAGCAAGTTGGAAACATCTTCACAAACACACAGGTATGCGAACCGGCACCTGTCCCCTCGGCGCCCAAGGAGCTCGGGGCAGGCCGGGTGCTGGGACCGCGTCTCCGAAAGCAGAGAGGGGGTGTCCCCGATCCCCGGATCCCCGGTCCCCCGGCTCCCCGATCCCCCTGCTCCCCTCACCCCGACTCCCTCACCCCCCCCCCCCCCCCCGGCTCCTCATCCCCGATCCCCTGGCTCCCCTGGCTCCCCCGTCCTTCTGCTCCCCATCCCCCAGCCCCCCGAGCGCCCCCCACCCCGACTCCCCCATCCCCCGGCTCCCCGATCCCCGACTCCCTGGCTCCCCGATCCCCTATCCCCCAGCTCCCCGGTCCCCCTGCTCCCCGATCCTCCTGCTCCCCATCCCCCCCAACCCCCCCCCCCCGCTCCCCGATCCTCCTGCTCCCCATCCCCGCCAACCTCCCCCCCCCTGCTCCCCGATCCTCCTGCTCCCCATCCCCCGGCCCCCCGACCCCCCGGCTCCCCGATCCCCCACTCCCGGTCTGGGACGTGGCCGCTGCCCCTTCTGCCGCCCCGCCCCAGGGAAAGGGGTGCCGGCAGAGGAGGGGAGGATGCGGGGCGCCTGGAGGGGGGTCCTGGGCCGCCCGCGGGCTCCAACATCCGGCAAAGTTTCCGCTCTCCGGGCCAGACAGCCTGGCTCACCAGCCCGAGCAGGTGGGCGGCGGGCCGGGGGCCGCACCCTCCAGGTGCCTCTCCACCTGCGCCCCCGCCCGCCCCCCGCGGCCCAGTTCCCCGCTCCCCCAGCACCGCTTCCCGCTCCCCGCTCCCCCAGCCCGGCTCCCCCAGCCCCGCTCCCCCAGCCCCTGCACCCAGCACCCAGCCCCGCTCCCCCAGCCCCTGCACCCAGCACCCAGCCCCGCTCCCCCAGCCCGGCTCCCCCAGCCCCGCTCCCCCAGCCCCTGCACCCAGCACCCAGCCCCGCTCCCCCAGCCCCTGCACCCAGCACCCAGCCCCGCTCTCCCAGCCCCTGCACCCAGCACCCAGCCCCGCTCCCCCAGCCCGTGCACCCAGCCCCCAGCCGCTCACCGAGCCCCGGCACGAAGGTGTTGAGGAAGAGGCAGAGCACGGCCAGCGGGAAGGGCATGCAGGGGATGGCGGCGCGCAGGGGGCCCTTCTTCTCGCGGACCTGCACCACCACCCCGCTGCCCGCCGCCCGGGGCTCCGCCGCCGCCCGGGGCGCCGCCGCCCGCTCGGCCTCCTTGTGCGCCGGCTCCATGGCGGCTCCGGCTCCGGGCGGCTCCCGGGCTGGGGCAGCGGCTCCGCCGGCGGCTGCAGCTCCGCGCCCGCTCCCCGCCGGGCTCCGAGCTCCGGGCCCCGAAGGCGGAGCCGGCGGGAGGCGGACAGCGCCCCCGCCCCGCCCCCCGCCCCGCCCCGCCCCCAAACGGCCCCTCCGGGCGGGGCGAGGGCAGCAAAGCGTGGAGGGGCGCGGGGAGCTGGTGTCCACTCGGAGGACGGACAGACCTCGCCCCCGGACAGGGCTGGGGGGACCCTACGGGAGTCTGCCGCGTGCTCCGGGGGCGGGACGGTGGGCGGTGGGCGGGGCGGGGGCGGGGTTTGCGGGGAGGTGGGGGCGGTGGGCGGGGCGGGGCGGGGTGTGCGGGGAGGTGGGGGCGGGGGGCGGGGCGGGGCGGGGTTTGCGGGGAGGTGGGGGCGGTGGGCGGGGCGGGGCGGGGTTTGCGGGGAGGTGGGGGCGGTGGGCGGGGCGAGGCGGGGCGTGGACGGGGCGGGGGGCCCGGGGGGCGAGGGCGGAGCGGGGCGTTGAGGGTGAGTCCGGGGATCCGAGGCGGCGGCGTCCGGAACGTGAGGGAGGTGGAAGCGAGGAACTGGGGAGCCTGGCGCCTACGTAGTAGGCCTTCAGGTCATCCTGTTCAAACTGGTGTGTTCCCGGAGTAACGGGGTCCTGGCTTGGGGCAGAGGGAGCGGGAGACAGCTCTGCGAGCCCGCCTGTCTCCGCGCTGATTAAAGGGGACCCTATTGCGCTCGCCCCCGCCCCCCTCCATCCAGGCAAACACCAGGGCGGCAGGGCGGACCTGGGGTGGAAGCGGATGAAGGCCACCCATCTGTCTCTCTAACTCCCTGTCTCCGTCCCTCTCCCTTCTCTCTCTGTAAGCAATGTCCTCAGGTGAGGCTTAATTTTAAAAAGGGGGGACCCCCCGCCACAAATACACCCTCCAAAAGCGGAAAGCCATGACTTTCTGCGGGATGGGGTGCTGGGTACCACCCCTGCACTGTCCTGGAGGAAAGCAGGCCTGGGGGGTAGGGGGGCGGGCCAGGAAGCCAGAGAGGACCGGCGCGCCGTCTGGCACTGGCCATGGCAGTTGATAGAAGCCAGAGGAATAGCCATCTGTGTCCGAACCAGCAGCTTTGAGTTGGATTTTCCCAATCATGCCGCCCTCACACCACACCCGGTGCCTAGAAGGCCTTCTAGTCATTCTGTTTAAATGGGAAAAGGGAGCTTTCAGGATGAAAGCAACGCTGCTTACCTCCGGGGTCTAATGCATCGAAGCATCCAGAAATTCAGCAAATCGTGGGGAGAACTGGGAGGGTGCCAGTCCACTTCCCAGTAACCCCTTTTCTCCCAGAGCGAACAGCACGGGCTCAGGGCGAGGCGCCCAAAGACGGGGGTATTTTACTGCTACTGATTAAAGAGTATTTTTAAATATATTTTATTGATTTTTTACAGAGAGGAAGGGAGAGGGATAGAGTGTTAGAAACAATAAGAGAGAAACATCAACCAGCTGCCTCCTGCACACACCCCACCAGGGATGTGCCCACAACCAAGGTACATGCCCTTGACTAGAATCGAACCTGGAACCCTTCAGTTGGCAGGCCGATGCTCTTTCCACTGAGCCAGAAAGGTTTCGGCTGATTAAAGAATTTTAAAAGCAGGTGGCCAGCAGGGGTGAGTGGTGACACTGGTGGACACACACACACGCACACACACACAGTAACTAGCTTCAGCCTGGCCGTCTGCAGAGAACAAGAGGGAAAGTTTTAGTGGCCATTCAGCCACTAATTGCCTGTTTCACTCAGAAGAGCTCAGCTAGCCTCTTCTGGGCTGGAGTCACTGGGATTACAAAACCAAAGCAAGGCCCGATGTAATACACATTTATCGAGGGCCTCGTGTGACTTCGCTGTGGGTGGGGAGCAAGGCCTCTGCCTTGGAGGTGTCACAGGGGAGGGGTACGAGCACCCCAAGGATAGGATGGCAGACGGTGCCAGTGTGACTGCGGGAGCTGAGGTGCTGGAACAGGAACCTGCCTCAAGCCAGCCCCAGTGGAGGCCTCCTGAGGAAGGTGAGACTGAATGAGACGTGAGCACTGACTGGAGTTAGCTACTTGCTGGAGATTTATTCTATTTTTATTTTTTTTAAAGACCAAGCTACTTTTATTAAAGACTAGAGGTCTGGTGCACGAAATTTGTGCACTGGCAGAAGATGAGGTCCCTTCAGTCTAGCCTGCGCCTCTCTCAGTCCAAGACCCCTCAGAGGATTTCTGCCTGGATTTCCACAGGGATTGGGCCTAAGCTGACAGTCAGACATCCCTCTCACGTCTGGGACCCCTCACTCCTTACCACTCGGCTTGCTGCTCCTTAGTGCTGCCACGGAGGTGGGAGAGGCTCCTGCCACCACCGCTGTACTCACCAGCCATGAGCCAGGCATCTGGCTGAGTGGCACTCCCCCTGTGGGAGTGCACTGACCACCAGGGGGCAGCTCCTGAGTTGAGTGTCTGCCCCTGGTGGTCAATGCATGTCATAGCGACTGGTCATTCCACCATTCAGTCAATTTGCATATTAGCCTTTTATTATATAGGATATTATATAGGATAGCATGCCACACAGATTTAAGCAATTGTGTGTTTATGTGATCCTTTGCCTCTCTCCATAATTCTATATCTGGTTGGGTATTAATTTTTTTAATAATTGAGATTTATTTTCTTTTAAACAAACACTTCTTTATCCAAGCACTCCCTGCAGACACTATTCTAAGCACTTTACACATTTTAACTCATTTAATCCTGACCATAACTCTATGAAGTATTATATGTTACCCATTTCACAGATGGGGAAAATGGAGCACAGGGAAGTTAAGAAACTTGCACAAAGTCACCCAGTAGTAAGGGATAGAGCTGGATCTGAATGCCACATAACTGCTCAGACACCTGGAATATAACCTTACATTTTGCAGTGTTCTTCCACGGAGAACCTCAGCTGTCTTAGCGCCATGCAAACTCGGTGATTCCTGGAAGAAGGGGTTCCAGAGGAGGACATGGAGTTACATCCCCCAGTTTCCCGATGATTCATTTAATAACGGGGGTCAGAGAGCGATCAGGGCAGAACGTCAGCATGCACAAAGGAAGGCAAGAAGGCCTAGATGGATAGGACACTCCGGAAACTGCCGAATGGCTGTTCCAGGGCTCATGTGGGTGGGCAGGAGATGGGCAGGAACCTCGGAATGAAGGGCGAAGGAATTGGGACCTGATCCCGGTGGCGATGTAGTCACTGGGACGTCGTAAGCAGGTGCATGGCGTAAGTGTCCCAGTTACTGTTCTGGACGATGTAAAAAACTGCCCAACACTCACTGGAGTGGCCCCACTGTTTTGTCATGATGACAAGTTTTGTGGGCCTGGAAAATAGACGGCGCAGCTGAGGCAGCTCTTCTCTGCTCCGCTATGTCTGGAGGCTCAGCTGCAAAGACTCAGGGGAGGCAGCTGGAATAGCTGGGACCAGAGCACTCACTTCCTCAGTGATTCTCAGGTCTGGTGCCTGGACTGGGGTAACTCAAAAGCTGACTCCACTGGGACCGTTGGCTGGAGCACCTGCCCGTGACCTCTTCCCGTGGCTTCTGCACATGACCTCTGCACATGGCCTCTGCACGTGATCTCTGCACATGGCTTCTGCACATGACCTCTGCACATGGTCTCTGCACATGGCCTCTGCACGTGGCCTCTGCATGTGACCTCTGCATGTGACCTCTGCACATGGCTTCTGCACATGGCCTCTGTACATGGTCTCTGCACAAGGCCTCTGCACATGGCCTCTGCATGTGACCTCTGCACGTGGCTTCTGCACATGACCTCTGCACATGGTCTCTGCACATGACCTCTGCACATGGCCTCTGCACGTGATCTCTGCACGTGGCTTCTGCACATGACCTCTGCACATGGTCTCTGCACATGGCCTCTGCACGTGGCCTCTGCATGTGACCTCTGCATGTGACCTCTGCACGTGGCTTCTGCACATGGCCTCTGTACATGGTCTCTGCACATGACCTCTGCACATGGCCTCTGCACGTGATCTCTGCACGTGGCTTCTGCACATGACCTCTGCACATGGTCTCTGCACATGGCCTCTGCACGTGGCCTCTGCATGTGACCTCTGCATGTGACCTCTGCACATGGCTTCTGCACATGGCCTCTGTACATGGTCTCTGCACAAGGCCTCTGCACATGGCCTCTGCATGTGATCTCTGCACGTGGCTTCTGCACATGACCTCTGCACATGGCCTCTGCACATGGCCTCTGCACGTGGCCTCTGCATGTGACCTCTGCATGTGACCTCTGCACGTGGCTTCTGCACATGGCCTCTGTACATGGTCTCTGCACATGACCTCTGCACATGGCCTCTGCATGTGATCTCTGCACGTGGCTTCTGCACATGGCCTCTGCACATGGCGTCTGCACATGGCCTCTGCACATGGCGTCTGCACATGGCCTCTGCACATGGTGTCTGCACATGACCTCTGCACATGGCCTCTGCACATGACCTCTGCACATGGCCTCTGTACATGGCCTCTGCATGTGATCTCTGCACGTGGTTTCTGCACATGGCCTCTGTACATGGCCTCTGCACATGGCCTCTGCATGTGGCCTCTGCATGTGACCTCTGCATGTGACCTCTGCACGTGCCTTGGCACATGGCCTCTGCACATGGCCTCTGCACATGGCCTCTGCACGTGGCCTCTGCATGTGATCTCTACACGTGGCCTCTGCATGTGACCTCTGCATGTGACCTCTGCATGTGGCTTGGCACATGGCCTCTGCACATGGCCTCTGCACATGGCCTCTGCACGTGGCCTCTGCATGTGATCTCTGCACGTGGCCTCTGCATGTGACCTCTGCATGTGACCTCTGCACTTGCCTTGGCACATAGACTCTGCATGTGATCTCTGCACGTGGCTTCTGCACATGGCCTCTGCATGTGATCTCTGCAAGTGGCCTCTGCATGTGACCTCTGTAC